AAATTTACACGTGAACACGTATATATGTATATATATACACGTATAATTTACGCACAACACCTAGCGAACGGCTCTCATGACCGAATATACATATATTTATTAGTTTGGAAAACTTCGGAGCCTTAAAAGATTCTTTAATTGTTTAAAATTTATTTATTCCAAAATCTTGTATAACTTTTATTCACTTGTTTTATTTATACCGGTGTTTTTATTATAAGTTTTAGTTCATACATGTATAAAAGAATACTTAAAAGATATAAATTTATGAAGAAATTTCTTATTGTTACAAGGCCAAATCAGACGCGTGATTTTCATCTTTCCACGGTGCAAAGGAAGGTCCTGGTATGTCTTCGCAGGATACTCTAGGATTATCAGGATCAACGGAGCGCATAACTTCCATCTGAACGTGCGTGATTTTGTCAGAACAGTCGCAGATTAATTTCGCTAGCGAACTCCTGCGTAATTCTACGAGCTGATCTGCAAGGTTTGAAAATGTTCATTCCGTTGTTTTCGATTTTAATTACAATTTAATTTAACTTTTGACTGCCTTTTAACTTTTTATAATTTTAATTTATAAACCGTACCTTCCGTGAAAGGATAAGGCTGATCGGCAAACTCGTACCAAAAGCGATCGCCCTTCTGCAAACGCGCGAATTGATCGACGATCAGACACGTAAACGTAGGTCCGACTAAAGTGCCTGACTTTGGAATTTCCGCTAGCGCGCCGGTATATAAATCCACGTCGGCCACGGACTCGTAGAGCATCGATATCTCTTTCAAAGCCTGACGGTCCAGATATTCGTCTAGATCGTCGAATGTTTCCACTTTTCCCAGTCCGCAGTATTCTCGCCAAACGATGTATCCCGGCAATCCGTGATCTCGTCCACGTTGGATGTTCAGCGACACCAGATCGAGACCGCAGGGAACTGTAGAGTTCGCCATGGGGTCCTCGAAGAGATGGTTTGTCAACTGCGAGGTAACATGCGTGGAGTATTTTTGAATAACGTTGCTCGTGGCCGAGTTAATCGAACGCTCTACGCCGTTCTTGGCATAGAGACTGTACGGATTGAAGAGCATCCTGTGCAACTCCATGTATGACGACGTGCCTTTCTCCGAGTCCGTCATCCTTATCAGTCCCGGTAGCAAAGTGTGAGCGAAACGGAAAGCCGCGGCTGCGAAGTGATTGGCTATCGTCGGATCGTTTGTTAGTTCGTCTGGATTATCTGACCGTTTCTTGTAACCAAAAGATAGCGGCTTCAAATCGTGCTTGTTCATCGCTTTGTCACCCAAGACGATAGGTAAGAATTCGCGATAGGTGATGTGCTGTAGTTGAGCGCTAACGATACGTCGCGATTCTTGATATATCGTTTCGTCGTTCCACGTGGGATTGATTCTAGCCAATTCGTCCGCAATCCTGTTGTGCTGCCGCGCCCAAAGTAGATGCATTGTGGTGAGATGCAGATTCTCGTTCGATCTGGCGTCACCTGCGGCGAAACAGTAACGACCGTGACTTCGCTCAACCTCCCGATTGCAGCCGTCGTTAGGATTTGTGCTCGCCGGCAGCAGCGTCCGTTTGTCAGAAGTAAGTTGCATTCTCAAATGACCGCCATCAAACTCACGCAGATCGCGAGCGATTTGATTGTCCGGACCGTAAATAGCCGAGCCGTCGATAAAAGCGCTGATCTGAAAACACACGATATTATCCGCAAAATTACTTTTGACGATTAAATTATATATATCTGGAAGTTTGTACACAATCGATAGAAATACTTGATTGAGCTGTTCCCTAGGTCCGAGTTTACATTGCGGAGCTGGCGCCGATCTCACAAAGTCTATGCAAGTCTTGCCAGTCAAATCGTACACAGGATCACCGGCTGCAACTCGCACAGGAAAGCACTCGGGGTGTTTCTTTGACGGTGGGCAGCACGCTATTGAACTCCCGTTAATTCCCTGGCTGAGTGCGGTGGCGGTAATATCGTGATCCAGAAACTGGCCGAATACAGCCAGCATTACCGTGAATGACGGATTACTGCTGGCAGAAGGCTTATGCACTTTTAGACTGACTTCTCTGGCAGAAGGCAACTCCTTTCCGGACCTGGCTTTCCGAGGTAATTCGATTCCGTCGGCATAATCGGCCGGCAGGACTCTTCTAAAGGGTGTCATACCGGAGCCCCAGCCTCTCGGTCGATTGCAGCTGCCGTCGAAGAGTCTATATTTGTGGATCTTGCAAGTACAATTTAAGTATTGTTTGCACGCGTCGTTTGGCACCCAGCCGCTATCAAACAAGGCGTCGATCGCTGATGGCTCGTCGCGAGCGAATCTTAAAGAATTAGAATTCGCTATATAACAGCTGTTTTTTATCATTTTCATAGTATAAAAATATAAACAATTAATATTATATACTACTCGGTGAAAATTTAAATCTCCAAGGAAAGAGCACAATCCGAGCTATTATACTAGATATATGTATATCAGTCCAGCAAACATTTTGGTTACAAAACCATATCCATCTGTGTCCTCAGTAGGATACGGTTTGGTAACCATGTCTGTCAACATGTGAAATGTCAAAATGCGACCAAAATGATGACAGAGTCTGCCACAAGCAAAGCGAAGCCAAATTATCGCCAAAGCGAAGCCAAAATCCGGAATAGGTTTGGTCACCGTCTGTTGGCGCCAAATTGCAAACAGTTCGCACGTATACACGAACAGACCTGCTTGGCGTTTGGTAGCAATCTGTCGTTAATGCGTTTAAGGTTGTATTCAGGGTAAGATCTCAGTCAAAAGTTAAAGAAACATCCCATACAGCACAGAACCTTGCAGCAACATTGCTGCAACGTTGCAACATTGTAACTGCGGTGAAATGTTGCAGAGATATTGCAAAAACATTATTTGAAAATATTATTCCAGCAATATTGCAGCAATATCTTAAAACATTGTTAGAATTGCGTATTAATATTAGTGTGTAATCGGTGACTGTATTACAGATATAGTGTTAGTTTTTTGCAATTCAATGTACGTAATTTCTGAAGCCTGGTACTACCACATGTTAGTGTCCTGCTTAACTTCATGTTTTTTTCGCGCGAAAAAGGCCGTAAGCGGATCTAAGCCAGGAATACAGACTTGGGCTGCGTTTGATTTATCTCTGCACATTTATAATTTTATTATTAATTATAAATTATTATAAATAAATATATATATATTTTATAATTTAGACTATTATTTATAATTAAAATATCATTGCAGATTGATTTTTAACATTATTATGTTATATTTTTAACATTATTATGAGTATTTTATTTATCTTATACAGTATAGGTCGGTATATTATAATTTTCAATTATGAAATTATAACATTCTATATAATTTTAGAATGATTTAGTTTTGTATGTTCCCACACAGAACAAAAACTTTATTAATCGCTCATAGACATTACCAGCTCTATACGACATTTAATAGATGTCTATTGGAGATTTGTTCTGTATATGTTATTAAAACTATTATGCCGATATATATATACACACACACAAAAAGTATTATTGCATATATATTATACTGCAATGTTACATTGCAATATTTCTGTAAGCGGACATTTTACTGTTGCTGCAATGCTGCAACATTTTGCACTGTTTCTGCAATGTTGCAATCTTGCACAACAATGTTGCTGCAATCTTCCTGCTATCTTGCAGTGCTGTATGGAATAGCGTAAACCGGAACTATTTTAATATTTAGATAATAATTGTTTGCTGGAAAAGTATTATTTGTATTAAAATAAGTTAAAAAAACTATTTATTATACTTTTAATGACTACGAAAAAGTTTTTACGTATATTTTGTGCCATTTTAATGTTCACTTTTGATACTTTTGAGTAGGATTATACTCTACTTGCAACATAAGATAAATGAAAAACTGGAAATGTATTAATCATAAAAGTTCGTTAAAACGTAACAATTGATGTATACAATTATAAATATAATTGTTTTATGTATATTAAATATATATTTTTATTAATTTTAGCAAAATATAAATTTATATTTTATGTGATATTCTCGAAATGACTATTTTTTCGAGTGGAATTTGTTTTTAAGATATTTTATTAACAACTGCAAAAAATTTTAAAATTACGGCATATCTACATCTACAGTTATTTTTTAATTTATATCAGAATATCGTGAAATCCCATAAGAACTCGTGTTAAATTAAAATCGTACTAACTTTTTAACAAGACTCGCAAAGGAGCTGAAATTTTACACAATGTTTTTTTTTTATATTATCTACTGACTGGCAAAATTTGAATAATCTGGCATATCTTTTATCTTACCCTAAATACAACCTTAACAGATCGACCCGACTTTTGTCATAAACAGATCTCTGGTACGGTTTTGCGGACTGTTTTGTCACAGTATTGCTAAAAGCAGAACTGTTTGCAATCGACCATCTATTTGTTGTCAATTTCACTGACATATATGGAATCGTTTTGGCCACAATACTCTCATGTATTTATCAACAGAGTTGTTGCGTTTTTTCTTTCTGTGTGCTAACAGTTTTGGCAGTGTTTCCGTATTGTAGCATTTCTGCAAAGAGTCTCTGTTGCCAAGGTCTGCGCCGAAATTGTCAAGAACAGAAATTGTTTGCTGGGAGTGTATACTTTATTTCGACAATGAATACATAAAACGTTTCGATCAAATTTTTGATCTTCCTCAGTGATGTCTATTAAAAAAATTTTTAACATTTTTGTACAATTACTATGATAAAATTAATTTATAACTTATTAATAATTTGATTATTTCTTACCACAATATTAATCAGTTAGAAATGTCGTATCACTACTTTGGAAATATAGAATTTACTTTGATTTACACCGATTATATGTTTGTTACTTCAAAAGTATACACAAGATTTTGAACTTTGTTGGTGATATGACTCCTTTACATGAGATATATTTATATGTACTATATATCCCCACACAGAAAAAAAAGATTTGCTAGAATAGCAAGAAATTAGTTACTATATGGCCAGCAAAAAAACATTTGTTAAGTTTATCAAAATATTTGTTTTGCCAACAAAACATTTTGTTGATGAAACAAAAAATTTCGTAGAGTCAACCATTTTTCTTGCTAACCATATAATAGCATAACTTTTTTTCCCGTGCACGCTTCTTTGAATATTATGAACCTATCAGGTGTCAGCAAACACAAGTCAAACCATTTATGAGAATCTCGAACATTGCTATTTTATTTGATTTAAATGATTCTAAAAAAGGAAAATAGGGTTTCAACTTTTCAGTGTCAGACATTATGTTAATCGGGTTGTCTTGAAGTTTAATTTAAATCATTTCTGATAGATCGTCTGTAATAAAATTTTTCTGTGTCTAAAATTTTTGTTCCTTGCCAATTAAAATTATGTCCTGTATTTAATCTATATTCCGTAACAACAGAATAATTTGTTCATTTAAGTGGACAAAAAGACAAATAAATACGTTGTCATTCCATATATTAAAAAATTATCACATAATATGTCAAAAAATTTTTTAAACAGACACCACTGAGGAAGATCAAAAATTTGATCGAAACGTTTTATGTATTCATTGTCGAAATAAAGTAGATATACACTGATATATGTATATCTGGTATAATAGCTCTTTCTATTGAGATTTAAAAATATAAAGATTCACCTCATATTCTTGATTATTCTCGTCGCCGCGATTTCACCCACCGCTGCTAAGGCGAGCGCGTTCACGTTAGAACTTGTGCTCACAGCGTAGCGGTGTCTAGACTCCGGAGACGAAGCTGGCAACGGCGAGTTTGCGGCAATCACATCGGCGGACAGACGATCCTTCATCGCCCGCTCGCCAGCCTGCAATCCCCGTATGTATTCTTGTTGACTGAGACTATTTGTTGCAGTGCCAATGTTTTCGCTAGACACCAGAACGGAGTTGAGCTCGGCTGTAGCGGTGCTGCTGAAGGACGCGTGTGAGGCGGATCCAGGTGCGAATCCTAGTCTCAGGGTATCACCCAAGTTACCAGACGTCGCGTTGTCGATTGCGGAATTGGTGAAGTTGGTGTGATTCATGTGATTCATGGAATAACTGATGAAGACCATGATAGCCACGGTAAAGACCACTCTGCAAAATCGCGAACAAATCGGATTACTATCAATATTTGTAATTAAGGACGATTAGCTATAAAACTTACATTAGCATGCCACAAATACAACACTGAAACTGCCGTATTCGCGTTCGTCGAGTTCTGAGGAGATTGGCGAATTCAATGTAATCGAGCGAATCCGTACGCCTCAAAGGCGTTCTTTCTGTAATATTGCGCATTTTTGTTATCGGACTAATCCGCAGACGATGCGCAAATAGTGGACAAGTAGCTCTGCTTCAAATTCTGCGAGTGATTCGCAGATGATTTTCTTCTTCGAGAATTTGATTTGCTCTGACTTCATGTAACTACGTAGCACATCTTTCTTGTATTTCTTCATAACACATCTCTCTTACTGGCGACATATGCCAACAAGCACGTTTTTTGGAACAAATATACGTGCAATATCTAAAAAATTTTGTAAACTAACAAATTTGTGATTATTAGGATTTTAACACAATTTCAGAGCTAATTATTCTCTCTCGTAGTTAATTCTCTCGATGAAAACATATAACTGTATACGAAGAGATGGATTTCGTTAGCTCTTCGTTCACACACTAGCGCAAACTGGATCGGTTATATAAAGTACATTGAGAATCGACAGTGTCGGGAATGAAACTTGAGTTGCCTTGCCACATTTTTATTTTGCGGTACGACATGGCAGTGACAACAACTTGAGCAACAAGCTGAGCGTCGACTTACACAAGTAATCACAGACAATTCGCAAAAAGTAGAGAAGTATGCATAAATAAAAAATCGAATAAAACCGGAATTACTTATTATAATTCAATAGCATTGTTTTTGCTGTGTAAAAATAAGATTTAAAAAAATTAATCTTGTAGTTTGCGTTGCTTTACTTGTACAATATTGTAAAATAGACACGTCTTTTTTATTAAAATCGAGATTAATTGCTATACGCACACGCGTAGCGTTTACAATGAACGCCGATATTTGACTGCGATATGCTCGTTGATTTTCTCACCGCATCTTGCACTCATGTAACGTAATACGTTGTCAGATCGCAGAAAGGTTTCCGTGCTTTGTTAGGCTTCACAAAAACGTTAATCTGCGATGGCAACAAATGGTCATTTTGTACACATACACGCACACACACACACACACACGCGCGCGCACATTTTTTTTGCATAATTTAGAAAACGGATTTAGAATTGTTTATTAATATAATAATTATCATAGATATGTTGAAAAAATTAGTATAGAAAAAGATTAATTATTTAAATTTAATATAATAATTATCATGGATATGTCGAGAAAATTAGTATAGAAAAAGATTAATTATTTAAATTTCATTACTGTGCCAGAGGAAAGAATAGAAAATATTTTTAACAAAGATATTTTACGATAATGAATAAATTGTGCTCTACATTTATTCATCAATAACATGAAATGAAACTTCTTGGCAAATCTATCGTTTATTTTTCTGTTATTCCGTACAGCAAAAGTTATATCGCTTAGGAGCGCGCAACTCGAGCCACTGTTCTTGATTCGGAACGTACATTTCAGCTGGCATGCGTTCCAGACCTGGAGATTCGGGTGATCCGCGCTCGTTCGTTCTTCGAGCTGAAAAAAAGCAGCAAGAAGTTTTGTCGAAGTAACAAATCTTTGTGTTTTTTTTATTGTTTTTAAAAACAAAAAAATATTTTTGGAGAAAAAAGCAAGATATTTTTCAAGCACATATTACGACGCAATTACCGAATCGCTTGCGCATAGCGATAGCTTCTCCCGGATGTCTCAGAAGAAGCCTACCAACGCCTTCGCAACGACGCAAAACTTCGTTCTTCAACAAGTGACTTCTGACGTTTTGCGAAATGATCGGGCAGTCGTTGACCCATGTCGATACGTATGCGAAATCCGTCAGTAATTGTTGCGCACCGTACTCGCTGGAAATTTATTTATTTCATCGTATATAATAAAATGTGTTTCTCTTGACATCAAGATGAGATGATTTACCTGAACTTAATGCGATGCAGATAAATGTAATCAAGCCACGCCTCGCACATTATTCGCAGAATCATGTTCGACGTTTCGTGATCCTCTATTACTTCCAACACTGGCAGCAACACCTTTTCTAAAGAACATGTGACTTTGATTTGTTACCAAGAAAACTTTTGAAATATAACAAAAATTACACAAGCGCAGAATATTTTTACAAACTATTTTAATATAATGTCGTGTATATTGAAAGATGCAAAAATATATGGTGGAAACGTACCAAAATAAGTCTCTACATAAAGACTGGTCGCAATCGGAGTCACACTGCTGTTTCGTCTCCAGTAATTCGACTGCGGAAAACACATGTGCAAATTTGCGAGGCTGACTACACGACAGATTTTTGCAAGTGTGTCGATGCATTCAGTTGGACTACTCTGAGAAAAAAATATATAGATAGATAAGAGTATCTGACAAGATTTAAATGGTGAATTTTAAAATTAAAAAACTACCGTTTAGGAGAAACAATTGTCAAATTGTTTTGTTTTTAAAGAAACTAAAGTTTTATGACACTATATTACCTGCAGCAATTCAACGTTTGCTTTGACTTCGGAAACGATTTTTGCTCTCATCTTCGCGCACACGTATACTTGAACGCTAATGGAATCCGTAGCCAGTGCGGTTGTGTGATCGGCGAGCTACGATCAATTAACAAAATAAATCACATACAAGGTAGTGAATATGTCAAATATGTTAAAAAAAATATATATTTAAAGAGACAAAAAAGACCTTGAGATACGACAATTCTTCAAGGCAGTTCACCACGTCGCCTTTAACTAGAAGAAAGAACACATCCAGGTTCCAAGTGTGAGCTATTGTCTTGGCCTCTTGAATAGCCCACAATGTCGCCGTGTGCACCGAGTGGTCCATTCTGTGCAACACAACAATCTGCTCTGATAACGGTAGTTCTATCAAAGGCGCCCCTATCACCCACTCGCCGCCCACTTCGCACTCGTTGCTGAGAGTAACCAGCAATTGGAACAACTCGACGAACATCTGGCCCGTGTTAGTTCCCTGCGAGAACGTCACCGTTTTTCGTTTTAATCCAGGTACAAAATACTTTTGTTTTCTCTTCCTAGCTTGTTTCCATAAGCTTATTAATATCGTTAAAGTAAATTTAAAATTAATATTTGAAATTCAATTGGATTTAAAAGTAATTTTAATTTAAAACTTTCAGAAATGTGTCTACCTCGGTAGACGACGGTTTCGAACGGCACTTGAAAGCCGAAGTGTAAGCTAATCTAAATATCTGGTCCCAGGCAGTGATGGTCGTGTGGTATCCGAGCGCGTCGCACAAGTTTTGCAGCGCTGGTCTGATCGTGGATGGAACTGAAAGTTTTTAAATGAGATAAATTCTACGAAAAAAAGAATATGTTTTTATTCTTAAAAATGAGAAAAGTGATTTTACTGTCATTTCCCTGAATGAACTGCCGCAGCCAATCTTTGAGATGCTGAGCACCGTGGCTGTGATGAGTCGCGAGGGCTTCTCGGGACCACCAGAGTATCACGTGATCCAAAATACCGGACAGAGAACCCCACGCAACTTCCTGATAGTAGTTCTTCACTTTTTTTATGGCGCTGCTTCTTAATTTCGTCTTATCTGATAAAAATTAATATCGAATAATTAATAACAGATATATAAGAAATTTATTATACACACCTTTGCTGGTCTTCAAGGCATCTGTACCGAGCAGTTGCGGCGAGACTTCTTGCACGACGTTCAAAAGTCGTAGAACTTGCTCATTCTGCGTGTTCACAAGCGCTTGCATACTTTCGATGTCGGATGTCTCTACTTCGGACGTGGACGCTGCACTCGCGATCGGTGGAGTTAAATGTCTCGTGAGAGCACTATAGTTCGAGAAACAGAAAATTTTTACGACTATATTGTAAAGAAAGCAAAAACAATAATAATTAATGACGCACAATATCGACACACAATAATGCGAACTGACCGATAAATCTCGATGCTGGAGTTTTCCGAAACGTCGACATCGTTTGTTGAAGAATTAGGCTGGACTTTTTCACGAGGTTCGTAATTTGCCAACAGACAATCGATGAGTTCGTGACAGGACTCCTCTGCTCTGTTCTTTGCTAATATCTACAAAAATTGTTTTACATTGTTACTTTTTAAAATTTATATATTTTACATATCAAAATAATTTTATAAAGTGATAAAGTTTTTGATAAAAGCAATAATTTAGACAAATGAATAATAAACATACCTGCAATATCTTAGTTACAGAAAGTTTTTTCAACGGTTCCAGCATGGATGGGCAGTCGTTGTAGAAAACATTAACAGACGAGACCGACACATCCCGATTCATATCGAGCATGTTATTGTAAGCATTTACCAATCTGTATAATTTTCTCATTGTTATTTTCATATCCTATTGTTGTCTATACATTTATTTAAAAAATTCTTAAATATATATCGTTGTAAATGGAGATTAAAATTGAGATAACATAAGTAAGAAGCGTTCTACCTGAACACTACTCTGATATTCTCTTCGCTTTTGCAATCAACAACGTCAATAATTAAATCTTTGGCGAATTTCGCGACCACATTGAGCTTGCGTTTCAATATCATCGACAGATGATTTATTTTATATTTATATATCGGATGATTGCTCAGCTCTTCCAAGCTGCATGTTGATTTGTAAGACACTATTAAATCCTCTAAGCTGTCTAGTAATTCTTCGACCACCTATAAAACAGATACACACAAACAATTACATTTAATTCATCTTACGGTTATTTTGATGATAAAATTTCTATCGCTGTACTGTAAGTCGGACCTCCAAGTCGCAAATTCGACCTTCCGCGAAGTCCTCGATAAGTAAAGCTAAGCACCCCGCGAGCTTTCCCAATTTCTCGTCCAAGAAGGAAGCGTCTACGAGCCATTTGTCGAGAGCTCCATCAGAAGGTGGTAACCACTTTGCGATATTTGCTCTGTAATTAGTATCCATGTGGTGCGCTGATTCTTCTGCGCTTATTTCAATTGTATCTCTTTTTTTTCTCTATCAGAATATTTAAAAATTTTTATTTGTCATTGGCGTGTAGTTAATTTTTTACCCAAGAAACTCATAAGCACACGTGTGTTCATTCTGAACGCGCGAGATTTTTGTTTTTCACTAAGATTTTTTATTAAATTGATTTAACACGTTACTTTCGCAAAATTAGGCAGTGAAAATTAATTAAGTAAATTACATATTAATGGACAATATAAAAAAGACAAAAAATACATATTCACTGATTGTAGAAAAGTTATTTCTAGATTGTACAATTATACGTGTGATTTATACGGGCAGCATTATGTCGTTATGCAATTGTTGCATCTCTTTGGAACGCCGATTTTATTCATAATTTGTTCAACGTTTGTCTATTTTTAGGCAGTACTGACTGTTGTCACTTTGCAGATGGCAAGTGTTGCACCACGCGTTCGTAGTTGCCACGGATACGTCTGACGCATGGCAATCGGAATGACACATGCGATGTTACATAAAAATTGCGCGCTTCCTTCGATTTTACTCGGATAGACAAATCAATTGAAGAAGAAATTTCGTGAAATCTCTGAAACTTAACAATAACTTAAATTTTGTAATTTGAATAATTGTTTATTGAAAACATTAAGTAAAAGATAAACCGATTAACGTTGTAATTATTAAGTTCATTATGATTAAATTAAAATTAGAATCTAATCAAAGTTTATAATTGAAATGCAACAATGATAAAAAATTTAAAGTTCCTCCCTGAAGCTCAGACAAAACGGTTGCCTAGGCAATAAAAATATAAATTGCTGTAGTGTTTTTTTTTCAGGGCAGCTCATGGCCGACTTCTAAATTTGTTGTGTTTAAAAAAAGATTAAATTAAAGATTAAATTAAAAATTCAAATTCGACACTCTTTATCTAAATTTTGTAGTGTAAAATATCAAGACTTTAATTTAGAAATATATCGTCACAAAATGGTAACAAAGATATGAAATTTTTCTAAATAACTTCAGGTTTCAAAACCTGAAGATACTCTTCGTTCATAATGCACCAAGCATATGTATAAAATATATTTCGGTTTGTTGTAGCGCGAGTGTATATCGATTCATGTGGGTCAGGCGGGCGTTCAGATGGGCAATTCCTGCTGGGAGCTGTATTGCCTGGAACATGGAATTCAGCCAGACGGAACCATGCCGTCTGACAAGGTTTCCGGTTCCAATGACTGTTTCAACACCTTCTTCAACGAGACGAATCCCGGTAAAATGGTACCGCGCGCTGTGATGGTTGATCTGGAGCCGACGGTCGTCGGTCAGTTACATCACAAATAGTATAATAGTTTAAAAAGCATATTATTTGTTCAAAAAGCTAAGTTACAAATGTATTAAGAAATTGTGTGAGAAAATCATTAGTTTTAATTTCTAAATAAATATTTTTATAGATGAAGTTCGATTGGGAACATATAAACGACTATATCATCCGGAGCAATTAATTACTGGCAAAGAAGACGCTGCCAATAATTATGCCCGCGGTCATTATTCCATCGGAAGCGAGATCATCGAGTATGTGATGGACAGAGTACGTCGACTGACGGATCAGTGTATCGGTCTTCAGGGCTTCTTTGTCTTCCATTCGTTCGGAGGTGGTACGGGATCGGGATTCACGTCTTTGCTTATGGAAAGATTATCTGACGATTACGGCAAGAAGAGCAAATTGGAATTTGTCATATATCCAGCGCCACAAGTAAGAGTTTAGAAAATTCAATATTTTCTCGCAACATGTTTTCACATGTTTCACTCTGCTTATATCTTTTGAGTCAAGTCAGTTTTTAAACAATTGAAATATGTAAAAACTACATCATTTCTTTAAAAAATAAAAGAGATATTTAAACGTTTTCAGGTATCTACTGCCGTGGTGGAGCCTTACAACGCGGTATTAACGACGCATACGACAATCAGCCACTCCGATTGCGCCTTCATGGTGGACAATGAAGCGATCTATGACATTTGTCGACGCAAGCTCAGCATTGAGCGGCCCTTGTACGCAAATTTAAATCGTCTGATCAGCCAAGTGGTATCGTCGATCACCGCGTCTTTGAGATTCGATGGCGCCTTAAACGTCGACCTGACCGAGTTCCAGACAAATCTGGTACCTTATCCCCGCATACATTTCCCACTGGCGACCTACGCCCCAGTAGTATCCTCCGAGAAAGCTTATCACGAAGGCATGTCGGTCGCGGAGATCACCTCCGAATGTTTCGAGCCCTCCAATCAGATGGTCAAGTGCGATCCGCGCGAGGGCAAATATATGGCCTGTTGCCTCTTGTATCGCGGCGACGTAGTGCCCAAAGATGTCAACGCCGCGATCGCGGCTATGAAGGGCAAAAGCTGTATTCGATTTGTCGACTGGTGTCCGACGGGTTTCAAAGTTGGGATCAATTATCAACCGCCCACCGCCGTCCCAGGCGGCGATCTCGCCAAAGTAACATCTCTCATCATGACTATTTTAAACAATTTCGAATTGTGATATATTTTCATTCTTGTATACAATTCGTAGGTCCAACGAGCTGTCTCCATGTTATCTAACACAACCGCGATAGAAGAAGCGTGGGCTAAGCTCAATCACAAGTTCGATCTGATGTATAATAAACGCGCTTTCGTTCATTGGTACATAGGAGAAGGTATGGAGGAACTCGAGTTCGCGGAGGCGCGCGAGGATCTCGCGGCACTCGAGAGAGATTATGAAGAAGTTGCCCTCGAATCGCCATCTACTCCGGATGTATCGTCATTCTAACGTGCTTTTGAAGGATCTTTCAACAAGCCGGTATTCATTTTCGTTGCCCGAAGTGAAAATTACAAGAAAAATGTCGCATCGCAAACACACAACTTTTGTGAAAATCTTTTATGTTTATATATTCCTATGTAAATTGTTACCATGTACTCTTATTTTGATAAGAATATATTTTTTGTGGGAATTCTCTGTGCAACACAAATAATTAATTTACCGCATCACATCTGCAATCGACGTTTTGTACAGCGCAGGTAAAAATACAGAAACATGAATAACCACACATTTGGTATAATCTTTACTGAACCAAAATAGTATATATTTGTATATATTTAACGTGTATACAATATCTTTGCTTTTCTTTTTATTGACTTCTTTTTTTGGTACTGACATTTATAAAAGTACATCAACGAAAGTCCTTTTCCGTATAGCTATTTACATCGATTTCATTGCACATAGAGCAATAGCGCGAATGTACATAGAAAGTACACTGTTTTTTAACGATAATATGATCAAACTTTGTCACTCTCGCTTATTAATTTTCTAAGAGCAGCCCAATGATACATAAATTATACTATAATAAATTATAACAAACAAATCTATACGATAGAGTTGAGAAGTAACTTTTTCTATCAACAGTTATTTCATATATATATATATGAAATATATATATATATGAAATATATATATAAAGTTGGAAAGCAAATAAAAGAGTACTAGAGAAAGTTAATAAATATTAATAACACGTTTGACAGAGAAGTATTCAATATTATCGGTCATCAATAGCTTACATAAAACTGTAATTATTGAATGTTCATACAATTTCAGTCAATTCCAGTCAACTGGATGTATCCGTTATTGGACCACTTTGCTGTAAACTTTTGCTCTTTGTGAGTAGGAAATTTTTACACATCCTTATATCCTAAGCCAAATACACTTCAAAGTAATATAGGCAATATTTTATTACTAAAATATTTTAGCTAGAGTATATATATATATATATATAATTTTTTTTTAATAATAATCTTATATTTAACATTACCTAAAACAGGCTTGTTGGAAAATTATAAGAATCTGCGCATATATGCGGTAAAATCTAACGAAAAATCGTGTACGAAAGTTTACAATATATATATAAACACTTCTCGAATAAAGTCTCTCAGAAAGTCAGCAAGGACCGCGATATATGCAATTCTTTATTATACAAGGAGCGTCGGAATTGGTTTCTTCCCAGGCCACGCTTCTTTTGCGTACTTCTTCTTCTTCGGTTCCATTGTGCGCGGCTCCGTCGTAGCCGGCAGGTGCTCCTGCACTTGAGGTACCTCCGTCGGCATCTGATTCGGCGTCATCTCGACTTCCGGAGCCGGATTGGGCAGGGTGATGCCGAGCCGCGACGTCAACGTGAGAGCGGTGGAAAACGGATTGATCATCGAAGTCGAGGACGGCGTGAACTGCTCGGGAGGTAGATCCTGGTACAGCTGAGGAGTGGTAGACGTCGGCTGCATGTGCTTCAGCGGATTGTGATCTTCGGACAGTGAAATGAGGCCTCCTTCCATTCGCATTCTCTGTAATAAATAAAAAATATATTCCAAGGGAAAAATTAATATTTCTCTCATTACATGACCGAAATGTCTCATTGTTCTTCGTAGTAAATGCGTAATAAACGTAACACGTACTTTGCTAGGCACGACTGTTGTTTGTACAAGGTTACGAAACCTTCCCACTGACGGATCGACATCTTCGGGATTGATCACCTCTTCGTCGTCGTTAAAAGTGATGCCCTTTTTCTTTCGTTTGCGCGTGGGCTTGTGCATCTCGTCGTCCGTTATACCGAGCATGGAAATCCGCCGATTATGGGCTGTATTAAATTCTGTTAGATTCTAAACAAAAATCATAGATAATTAAATCACAGTAAGAAGCACTAGTGTTACACAGATTAAATTTCTTTTTACACATACATCTAATTCAGTTTCTGTTTCTGGTAGACCTAGTAAACCACCAGCATCCATGTCTTCAGATAATTTTTCCAGTTCCTCGATAATAGGCCTGGCGCCAGTCTGAGGTCTCTCTCTGATTATGTAATATCGAGTGGACGCACCAAAATGAAATGTACTGTCTATTTGTAACTGAGTTGGCTTGTGAGGTTCCAAACGTAGATTTCCGATGAAGGTCCCATGAGCTGAAAAATTATCAGAAAATGCTCACAAATCACAAATAACAGTTATATAAAAAATCAGAAGATCAAACAGAAATCTTTATACACAAATTATTTGTAAATAAAACATTAGCTTAGCTATTGTTTTTAATGAATGTGGTGACATTGACCCATACAGAACAAAAATTCACAAAAACCTTATCATACATCAAATCAAATATCACAAAGTTATAGATGTCTAATGAACATCTATTGAGATTTATTGAGTCATCTACAGATTTTTGTTCTGTGTGGAAATCATAATTTGTACTGTATGAAAAACAAAATTTATACTCACTGCTTCCTAGATCTACTAAAAATGCTCGATTGAGGTGTTTGTGATAAACAAGAGCTGCATGAACTCGAGAACACGATGCGTGATCAATGCAGAAGTCATTGAGCTGTTGATTGCGACCAAAGAGATAGCATTTCTTTTCATCCACCATAAGTTTCTGCAAGAAATGTATTGACATAAAGCGAAATACACAGTTTGAAAAGTTTGACAGAACCCAGATGAGTAATCTCTCTGATTAAAAGGTGTCGACTTACCTGAATCAACTTGTCATTCTTTAGCACATCCAAATGCAATCCTACCGGTGGTTTCCCCGCCCTAGAAAAGAAAAAAAACGACGCGAAGCGTAACGTCGGTCGTCTCTAGTTTATCTCATGCACGGCAATAAAAGTCGCGAGACGCGCAATTGCGCAAACATGTATCTCTTCCTCGAAATTCGTGGGGAATTCCTTCAAATTACAGGGAACGTACCAATTCGGCACTTCGTAATGGTTGGCCATTGTCGTGCGATAACCAGGTTCAACGAGATTTATTTACTCGACTATTCCAGCGGGAGTTGTCCGTTCAATTCCGCATTTGTTCGAATACATAGATGAAAACAAATCCTATATTTGCAAACGCTGAACAATCGAAAAAGGTTCTCTGCTGCGCTAATAATCCTAGATCTCCTAGGCAGAGAGATTTTCTCAGTTGGCTCGTATTCAGAGATCACGTGACTGTGCTTTGACAGGCTTGGATACAGCTGTGGGCGATTTGAGGGCTGTTGCAAGTTTTTTTTTTATTATTTCTTATATTAGTGTAATATGCAAGTTTTTATATTATGTCGTATTTAATTTAGATTATTGTATTTAAAATGTTAAAATATTAAGTTTACGTATATAATACCAGAGAGAAACCTGAGAGCAGCTATCCTATGGTACTTTCTTACGACGGTTTCAGCTGCTGATTTTAGGCACAGTCTAGTTATACCAGTTGCGACACTGACCCCCTGTTCCGTTATTACTGGCAGTACTGAAAATTTATAGGTTCACGTTACGTATCTTATAGATTGTTCAGTACTGCCTGTAATAACGGAACATGGCCTGAGTGTCGGCATCTTTGATGTAGAAGAGACAAGATCACGTGATCTGTCGCTATTTTAAGAAGTGTACACGCGCTTACATTTGAATGTATTTGAAAACTATGAAAAGGAGTATTATAAGCGTTTTTCGATTGGAGACACAGATTACACAGTGTAAAATAATGAATTATTTCAGCTGTGTTTAATTTATTTTGCAAATAACAAAGATAAATTGAAGAATTATTTTATATTTTGTCACCTACATATTTTACTAGGAAACATGCACTTAGTAAATAAAATAATAAAGTAAACACAGATAGTGTATTTGTCATAAAATATTTTTTTTATTATTAAAGTATAAGAATAAATATATAATTGTAAATTTATTTTTTATTATAAAAGAAAATAAAATATTATGTAAATAAATTACAATAGTAATCAATTACAATAATAATTAATATTAAATAATAAAATTAATAGGTAGATCTGGCTTGATAATTTTACAGTTCCAGAAACAAATGTACACTGGAAATCAAGTGTATATTTTGTATCCGTTTTTGATTATAATCATTTCTTCGTTATTAGCTGTAAGAAATTTGAGAAATTAATATTCTATAATTTAATTTATATTTATGTATATGAAGTAATTTAAAAAAGTACAAAAAAAGAATAATCTATAACAAAATATATTTTTACAATAATTTTTGTAATTTTTATTAAACACAAAAAAATACATGCAAATGCAAGAAAATATATGCAAAATATAACATATTAAAAAAAAAACATACATATTGGAGTATTATCTTTCTGTCTTTTTAACTGTTGTTTTAGTTTATGTAATTTCTTCTGTAAATGTATTCTGCCTTTTGATTTTTGTTTCCGTGGCGACTTATTTGTACATTGCGCATCCATTTGCGTTCCATCATCTTGCTTATTATATTGTTCCTTTCTCTTAATACATCCTGTTTGTGTTTCTTCAATTTATTTATCATTCTACTTGAATCAAAAACTTTTCTTGTTCTTCTTGTGTTTCTTCATTTTGTTTATTATATTCCATTTGATTATTTTGGTTTTCTTGATCCTCTTTATTAATAAGTTGAGTACCTATAACATTTACAAAAACATAACTTTTATCACTTTGCTTATCTTTAACTAAGTACATTTAAAAATTATAATAAAATTTTTACTTATTATTACCTGAAAATAACACCTTATTATCAGAAATTAAAGACAAAATAATTTAAATTATCTGATAATAAATTGTTTGGAACTGCATGCAACTGGAGACGATTTTGTAAATCATTTAAAAACCAGAGAAAAATCTGAGAGCGTCCATCCTATTGTAATTTTTTACGACGGTTTCAGACGCTGGTTTTAGCCGTATTTCCACAAAAGTGGAACTCAAAGGCCGTTCTACATTAAACGCAAGTATCTGATCTCGTGGAATTGACCAATTGCAGAGTCAAATCAGCCAATCGACCAACGTGATTGATCAGTTCCACGAGACCTGCGACTTGAGTTTCATGGAGAACGGCCTTTGAGTTCCACTTTTGTGGAAATACGGCTAAAACCAGCGGTTGAAACC